CCCCAAAACCCCAAAACCCCAAAACCCCAAAACCCCTAAATATTATTTATAATTGAATTAATAATTATGAACTCTCGTAACCTACCTTCTTCATCATTCAGGCCTACCAATAGCCTTCAAGGTACTATTCCTCTAAAATGTTATTGTGAAAACTGGATTATAAAGTTTTAGATAAGTTTTCCTTCAAATGTGCTTTATAGTGGAAGAATTAAAATCACATCCAGCAAGTGACTCGTATCTTGGATCGATTTCTGAGAGAGAGTCTGAACATACTGATTATAGCCATAAAAAGCCTAAATAAAAGCTTCTTTCGGTATTTAAATCCCTTTTAACCCATTTTAGCTCATTATTCTGATTTATGAGCAAGAATAAGAATAAAATAACCCCAAAAACATTAACAAATGATGAAATAACAGATCAGAATGATAGTGCCTTGGTGTCAAAGTCAACAAGAAAAAGGAAACAAAAATCTCTAGTTCAAAGAGATTTCTACAAAAACACAAACAACAAGAAATAGAACAGCATTTACCAAAATCAATTATAAAGTAAATAAAGCGCAGCTTGCTTAATAAGTGCTCTATAGGCAAGATCTGGAACGCATCTTGAGTCATCACTAGCCCTTTTAGGCAAATAAATCTGCTAATAAAAAAGGCAAAAAGACTATTGTGCTAAACCTTGATGAGACTCTAGTTCATTCAAAATTTGGGAGATATGAAGATGCTGATAAGTTCTTCTGTTTTAAAAGTGACACTTCCTATTATGCAATTAGCATGTATATGAGGCCTCATTTAGATCAGTTTTTAACCTTTCTATACGAGAATTTTGAAGTTGTTTTCTACACTTCTGCGATAGAAAAGTATGCAAACGAGGTGTTTGATCAAATTGACCCTGAAAGGAAAGCAGAAAGCAGACTTTACCGAGATTCCTGAATGTTTAGAGATGGAATATATATAAAAACTTTGAAAAGGCTCAGAAGACACCCTTCAACAGTCATAGTTTTAGAGAATAATCCAGTGTCTGTTTGCTTGAATCCAAATAATGTTTTCCCAATTAAATCATGGTTTGGTTCGAAGAAAGATAAGGAATTGTTAGATATAATCCCCATATTGAAATCTCTAGCTGCTGTCAAAGATGTACGAGGAGTAATTAAAAGGATCTTTGAAAGCACAGGCATCACTCACTCAGAATCGAATCAACATGTAAATGATCTGTACCAAAATCCCAAAAATATTAAAGAAGATGATCAGCTAAATTACAAAGCTGTCATTGGGAATTACTACCCTCCAATGGAAGAGTATGATCCGATTAAAATTAGCAAAAATTTGGCAAAAACAGAAATGATTTCGTCATCTGGGACAGCTGTCAAATATCCTGATGAAGAAGTTAACTATATTTTATTCTGACATGCTTTAAATAATCCAGAGGAAGCTTTGAACACTGAAGAAGTACAAGACGAAGAAGTATTATATCACTTAATAATGCTATAGGAGAATATCAACCATGGGCCTAGGAAAGTCATTTTATATAATCCAGTAAGATTTCATACAATTTTAGATCGAAGAGGAAGAATTTGAGGAGAGTAGTATGAACGTCAAAGTATTTAAGCCTAATTAATTTTCTAGGAGAATTCCAGCAGTCATAACAAGATCACTATTACTGAATCAAACCCAAGCTTCGCAGTTAAAATGCTTAAGAATTTCCAAGATCCAAGCTCGTTGACTATTTCTGAGAATCAGAGTAAATCAGATGCATCGATGGGTATTCCTCAGCCTACTAAGCTTAGTGAGCATTTGAAGGCATTTTTTTGATTTGATAAATAAATCCACTACTCTCTTCAACCCCTCTTAAGCTTCTTGGGGTTTTGGGGTTTTGGGGTTTTGGGGTTTTGGGGTTTTGGGG